TATTAACTCATTCCCTATTTCTTATTATGACTCATCCTCTATCATGAAATACAATTAACAATTATTGGTTCTTTTGTTATTGTTAATCTCTCTTATTTGTTGAAGGTTTCTTTTATTATACAAGTGTCTTTCAATGGTCAGATAGTTATGACAATCAAATTACAACACTTTGATTTCTTTGTTTGTGTGGGTTTGTTTGATTTTAACTGTTGTTTTGTTAATTGTGATTAATCCTCAAGACAAAAACACAAGAAGAGACATTCATGTGTTTAATGAATCTAAAGAAGATTTGAACAATGAAGTGAAATGAATGTTCATAAACACTCCAAACATAGCTAATTCACCACAAAATGAAAGAATCCCTATTGACATCTTTATCTATCACACACCAGACAATTATAGTAATATCCCAATGACAAGAATCGCACATACAGCAAACTGTCATGTTATTGAAGGATCCACGTTGCATTTAACTCAAAAATAGACACACAAACCATTGTAATAACATGAATTAGAAACAAACTTGGTATGAAGAGAATCTATAAATGTATATTACATGTAAACACGTGGCAAGCGTTAAAGTGAAATAAAAGAAGAACTAAAAGCACAAAACACCATAGAGAAGAGATGATAAACAGAGTAGAACTCACAGTGGAATTATTACGAAAATATCGAGGAGAGTTGACACATGAGAAAGTTGTTAGATTGAACAGAATAGTCAAGGTTGTTGAAAGTATTCATCAGAGTCATCAAAACGAGGAAGTTATCATTCCAAGTAAAGAAGCTATTAGTGAGGTTCTTGATAACCCAAATGATGAAAACATGAAGACATTCATTGAATGCACATTCAAAGAAAAAGTCAATGTTGGTGAGACAGACATTAAGAAAATCTATGAAGAACAAGAAAGTAGTGCAGTTGAGTTATTGAAAGACATCATGGATGTTTTAATGAATGAGAACATCAAGAAATATGTAAGCAATAAAGCAATTAAAAGAATTACACAAATGGCACAGAAGATTCGTAACAACATTGTGGAGTGTATCAATGAAAATATGAGAATGGAAGAAGAGAAGAATCAAGAAACAACAACACCACCAGAAATGACAAATATTCCAATCAGTGAAGGAAACAAAACAGAAGAGCAAGAGAGTCCTAAAGAAACAGAAGAAGAGAGAGTGAATAGGGAATTTGGAGAGAAGATGAGAAGTCTTGAAATTGAGTTAGACAAAATCAAAAGAAAATACATGCATCAAAAAGGTT